CGCTCCCCCCCACCCCCCCTTGAAAATTAGAGGTTTATATTGAACAAGACATTAAATATTCTTTGCACTAAAAAGTAGTCCTCAGTACAACTGTGATTAATTTTCAACATGTACACAAAGCACATTTGTTTATAACTCCATAGTTAAAGTCTAATAATCATTTTTTAACATAACTAGGTAGGCAACCATTAAAGGGTTCCGCACTAACAATCAACATGAATGAAAGTAGTTTGCTAGTAATACTCCCAGAGCCACTCTATTATCATACTTCAAACTCCTCTTTATCTTTTTCAGGGATATCTTTTTAAAAAGCTGGTTTATTGGTGTAGTAATTGTAGCAAGCAAGGACTTTCTTTGTCGTATTTTCCCCTGTTTGCACTGAATTGGCTATCTTGCCTCAGACCGTATATTGTTGCAATACTGTCTTCCCTGTGTATTTGCAGAACATTTAGCATCTGACATCTATGCTCACACAACACAAATTGTCAATAATTTCTGATTAAAAGAAAAAATATCATGCTGTGCACCTTAATTTTTAAGCATTTATATGAACCTGTTTTAATCACTTATTTGGGTTTTTTTTCTAATGCTTATAGTATTCTGCAAACATGCTTCAGCCCTTACCAGACGTTACCCATCCAGCCTATTTTCCAATAGTTTATGTTTCATTAAAATAAATTCATGACACAAATTGAGTCACTGGTAGGAATAAGCTTCAAATGTACATTTTCATATGTAGCCAAATCTCAAATCTACCAAAATATATCTGAGATGTCCTTTATATCCAGGCTAGCCATTTTATATAAAACGCATTTGCTAAGTGTTATTTGAATTACTGAATTGTAATATTTTATGGGCTAAGAGTTTCTAGGGATTATGAAAGCACCAGCATTCCTATTACCTGAAGTTCATTTCTGCCTTCCTTATTTTTAATCCAAATTTTACCCTGTGCCTGTGGATCGATTAATAAAGGATAACGAGATGCTTTAGTGACAATGATTCCATTCTGTATGGATAACTCATCATTTGGTAATCCTTGAAGGTTCCATTCATTGATAGTTGGAGCATCAGTCAACATTTCTATGAGGTTCAAGTTGTTACCAAAGGGGATTTTTCGGCTTTTCATTTCCTTTTGCCAGTCATTTAATAGCAGACTGCGGAACTCTTGGTTAAAAGGACCAGAATAGGACAGAAAAGCTGTAGCCAAGAGTACATCACCTTAAAGAGAAAAAGGAAAACAAGAAAACAAAACATTAATACTTTGCCAATTCTATTCATGAACAAGCTGCTTCTTTCTCTAGTTATATGGTTTGGCTGGTAATTGAAGAACACGCTTTGAGCCATAAAGAAGACAAATCACCCTTTTTTCCAAGGCTCATTACATAGCAAGACAACGTTACATTTCAGGAGATGCCACGTTTACTTTATCCTTACAATGCAACTGTAGGAATCAAGAGATGGGCATCTGGCAGCCAGCCAAGGTCAACCCAGCACACACACACACAACACTACTCCATAGACCAGATCCAGCACAAGCAGGACATGGCAGAATAAACTTACTCATAAACTTCCAATTCCATCATTTCCTTGCACTATCATGAGAACAGGCTTAAACAATATTTTGGGTGGAGAAAAGAAACTTTATTTAGGAGTACCAATTAAGAACAAATCAGTTACAATTATTACTACTAATAATAAAAAATTGTAACAGACATCATCACAGAGGTATTAAGTGTGACAAGTTTCAATCTGCTGGTCAGCTTCAAAATTGCCCCCCTAAGTTTCACGACACCAGAGGGGGGTTTTTTTGTGCCTCTGAAGTAAGAATGCAAGATTCCAAACTGGAGAAGATACTGTACTTTTATACTGAGTACTAACATTTTTTACATTTTTTCGAGTTATCTGTAAAAAACGCAGGATGAGTGTGTGGGGAAGGTATTCTGTATTTTTAGTAAGTTAATAATACACATATAGGTGTTATACCAGCAAATAAAATACAACCTATCTATATAATACGACCTATACAACAATATCTGCTTTTTACAACATTTCAAGGCAAAAGAAAGAGAAGAAACTTCAGACTACAGTAAAGGACAAGATAAATTTAATTTACTTGATCTAACTAATAAATTAATTCCTTACTACAAAGTACTTTAGTTTCCAAGTGCTTATTTATAAAATAAAAATTAATTTCCAAGAAACAAAAGTTTTATGAACATTAGTAACTGCATTTAAAAATATTGATTTCTACATACAAATGTCAGTGACTGAATATATCCTCCATATCTATTCTCAGTTATAGACATTTTATTGGCACTTGCTAACATATCACTCTCTTTGGACTGCTGCCTGCAAACATCAGTCAAGTTAAAACATCAGCGCCCCAATTATGCAGTGCATGTTATGCGCGTCAAGTAAAAGCCCATACACAGTTACTGGGTTTTGGTTTTTTTTTAAATACTAACTCTAGTCTCATATTGTGTTTTTTACCTATCAGTACTTTAGCAAAAGAATTAGTAACAACTACCCTTTTTTTAGCAACAGGGAAGCTAAGCTACAAAGGAAAAATTTGAAATTTCAAATGTTTTCAGGTTCACTACCCATTACAACTCAAGTGACTAACTTCCAAGTTCAAAGGTGTGAACAAAAGCTTACCCACTAGCCTCTTGGTTTGCACAGCAAATTCTTTACTCTGCTCTGTCCACCTCTCTTTTTCACCAGCTAAACCACTTATAAGGCTTGAGGCAGTTTGCATTTTATGACGGCAACGCTGAGCATCTTCAAGCAAAGTCTAGAGAAAGCCATACACCAAGAAATATGGTTTACAGTCATGTATCTGATAGGCCAGAAAAATCTCTACGTCTAATTAAACCAGTAGTTAAACAACAGCTCAAAAATATATCCTCAAACACTTCTATCACCATGCAGAGAAGGAGGGAAAATGGGATGGAAAAAATATATCAGGGCAAACTATCAACATCTGTCATAAATGTGATCAAGATCCCTTCCAAGGAATAATAGTGAAATTGAAAGAATGCATTAAGTTTTCCTTAAAGTGAGGGTGGCAATTTCTTTTCTATAAAGAGCAGTTCACCTGTTTTTCTCTCATCGCTTTTTCATACTCTGCCTGCACAATATCTAATTCTTCTTGCTTGGCACCCAGTTCTTCCTGAGCTTTCTGCAGATCCAGCATAGCGGTGGTTAGGCGATTCTCCTGGATTGCTAAATTAGCCTATGGAGCATACAAATATAAAAGTGTATTCATACATACAACATCTCAAAGCATTTTCTATAATGTATCTCAAAGAGTTTTACTGTACTACATTTCAAAAATCAAACTGCTCAGTAGAGATTTCAGCATTCATTAAAACCTTTTATTTGAATTTTACAACAAACTAACTTCTTATTGCAGGTAGCTGCAGTTAAGCAGTTGGTCTAACATCAATTAGAAAACATGATTAGAAAAACTTCTGGGACTACCAGTCATTCTCCATCTGACACAAAAGTAAGTCTGATCTGGCATGCAAAAAAGACTGGTGCCACTAGAAGCCTATTTGATTTCTCCAACCAATATATTTTGTCTAATGAAAGATACTACCTCTAACTACAAATCTTGCTTCCCTCTTGGTCATTCCTATTATAAATACAAGCTATTCTATGTTAAATCATGCTTGACCATGTTCTTCCTGACTTTCATTCTTACCTTTTAACAACTATTTAGGCCTGTTTTTCTCTAAATAACACTGATGAACAGAGTACCTGTACAGTCTTCTTATAAACTGAGATCCTGAACATTAAAAGAACCAGATCTCAAGTGTTTTCCTACTTAATTCTTAATTAAGGTAAAGCAATTGCAATAGTGAATTAAACTAGATGAAAGCTGCTTCAACCCCATTCAGAAAGGGCGCAGAGGCATAAAACTGCACAATCTCTTTCAAAATTTTACAACTTACAAGTGGTAGCACATTTGAAATATATTTTACTATAGAGTTACTATTTTCTAGATAATAAATTCCTACAGAGGCATGAACCAGTTGGAATAAGGCAGCTGATGTTTCCAGCAGATTAAATCCTCAAGTGCATATAGGTGGGGAGGAGAAGGAGCAAAGGGTGTTTGTGTGCCTCCCACTGATTAACAGACTTACCTTTAAAGGTAATACTTCTTTGTTGATGGAAAAAAATACAGCCATAGCTTTGGTCCACGAGCAAAGGCCAGCAACATTCCCACATACTCTCTTAGCTGTCTCAATGTTGTAGTCCACCATTTCAAAATAAGGGCTCAAAAGTTCTACTACTTCTCCATTAATTGTGTCCTTTGGAAATTGCTAAAAAAAGAAAAAGTGCAATATATATAATGTATGTAATATATGTAAACTATACATGTATGTATTTCAGCACAGAACACTACCAAGATCATAAATGTTACTTACAAACAGCTAATATGAAGTTCTCTGTCTCATGCATCTTTGAGAGCTTGCCAAAGTCATTCCACTCTGTTCTATATTCTCACAAAATGGAAAAAAGTTTGCCTTCATTTATGATCTTCGTTATCTTACACTATCCATTACCATTACACAGCTAATTGTTGATACAAAATATCACTGATATCCTGCTGGAAATTCCATTTTCCTTAATACTGAATAAGTAACTTATCTTCAAAAAGAAAAGGAAAAGCTTAGCTCTGGTTCATAAACATACATTCTACAAGACAGTCCTTTCAAAGGGCAAGCCAGCTATCTTCTCCTTAAATTACCTTATCTCATTAGTGGAACGTGTTTCAATTTTAAGAATCTATTTAGACCCTCTCTTTTCTCCAAAAAAACATTTCTTCCATTTTTCATCCCCAAAAGCTCTCAATTTTCTCCCTCAAATTTATTTTGATGGTCAAATATTCTATACAAGTTTGGTTGTCTTTAAAGATTTATTTACAAGGTATAATGAAAGTCCATCACCGATGAACTTGAAAAACAGCTGTTCCCTGAAGCACAAATAGGTGTATTCATGCCCAAGCAATGACATGTTGAAGCCCTTCAGCAAATTAAAAATCCTTACAAGTAGATACAATGTGAATACTACATAAATGGCATCCATGGCACTACCAACCATACAAAATTGGTCAAGCCTGCCCTCCATGATTTCCCACTGGAAATGTTACATGTTTGCATGTTAAGTAAACTCCTCAAAATGCAGAAATCAGAGGTAATAACATCCAGTGGGGCAGGACAAGGTACAATTTATTCTGAGTAGGTTAATCATAATATTATTAGTTTAAATTATGAACAGGGATTTATTCACCAGTTACTCTCCCCATTTCCCTAGACACATGCTATGGAGCTGAAAATCCCAAATTTCAAATAATTCTGATTTTGTACATCCTAATAATCAACTATAATTTTGAAATCCACTGCACAAGTTGCAATGCTGAAAATTAATGAAAAGTTAGGTACCAGAAAAAATATGTTTTCTATCAGCTTTAATGAAACAGATAAGTAATGGCTATTCAAACCAAATGCTTAAAGCTTTGAAACATTTTTCACTGAAAGTAATTTCTTTGCCTTACATAGGAGAAACTATAATTGATTTATGACCTGACTTTGCCAGAAGGATTCAAGTTTATTGCGTTATGACATACTTATTTTTAAGTCCTTAACATTTCAGATCTATTGTGTGTCTGATTCCCCTTGCACTCTTGTTCTCCTATGAACACCAGAGAAAACACTGTCCCCTATCTTCTTAAACTAAAAAAAAAAAATCAAAAAAGTTGTACAAGCACCTGTAGGTTCTGTAAGAAGTTCCCTGCTGTCATCAGTTTCAAAGATTCTTGCCATGATGGGATGGTACAGCATTTTTCCTGATCAATTTTCACATTGTTCACTTTTCGCTGGAAGAGCAGTAACACACAGTCCATGATACGCATAATGAGGTGAGGAGGTCGACCCAGTGTGCGGACAGTGGCAATATCTGCAGGTTTTATTGTCTATGAATTTAAAACAAAGGGTAAAGCAATTACTGTTATTGTTTATTTAATAAGACATAGAGCACAAGCTCACCAACAGTATTAATCCATTGGAGAAGAAAAAAATTATTCATAGCATTTTTGATTGAAAATAATTTTACCTCTAAAAAGCATGAAGCTAGAAGGACCCTCAGATTTTCACTACTACCTCCTAGCAACTACTAGGAAACCTCAGCTCAGCTACCTCTACAGCAGCACCTAAAACCTTAAAACTACCACGCACATTTTTGACAAAACAAGAAGCAAAACAGAAACATCTTGAAATTTTACTTTTTTTTTTTTTTTTTTTTAATGCAAACATATTGACCAGAAACTGAGTCTAGAAAGGAAATGTTGATATTTGGCAAATGAAGATGAATTAAGGAAACCAGTGAGAAGGCCTGATACACGTATAGATTTGCACCTTCTGATTCATCTTACTGGGAATGTTCCTGTTGTAGAAGCCGGCCTGCGAGAAAAAAAAATAAATTATAATAATGTATGAAAAATTAGGCCCTATTAAGTAAGGCCAAGTAAGACTATGGTGCAATCTAATACTATAACTCATAACTCTAGTGTACATCATGAATCAAAAAGGACTATCAGAAAAGTCTACTGAAGATGTCTCCTTAGAGAAGCACTGATTTAAGTAGCAGTGCATACTGCACCACATACAGAGCAAAAAACCACTGAGCAAAAAACCACTGAGCAATGGTAACTGCTGATGGGTGGGCCGACTCCTATAACAGACATAACTTGGATCGGAAGCTTTGCTTATTCACAGGCAGTTTAATCAGCCTGAGTACATGACAGTGACAGTTATGACACCTTGCTTCTAGCCTAGCACATGCCTCACTGGGAATGCATAAAGGAAAATTTTAATTACTTGTGTTTATACTTTAAGAAAGGGATTGTAAATTATTGCAGATTATCCTGATCACCTTCCTTCTGCCTACCTTTTGTTTCCCTTCAATATTTTGCTGCTCATTGGGTTCAGTGGGCACCCTATAATTCAGCAGTTTTTCCAGATATCTGCATCGAAACTTTAACCAGTGTTTCCATTTATTTATTTACTTACTTCTAGTTGTGCATTTAATGTGCTATTTTTATTGCAGGGCAAAATGCAACTAAGTTTCATTGAACTTTGACAATTCTTACTCAAACTTTAAAAAATTAATCACACTATATGTTTAAAAATGCTTATAAGCTGTTCTGTACCTACCTGTCTCTTAACGTAGCATTTATCAGTCCTATAATATGTAAAAAATGGAGAGAAATAACCAACCACAGATTTTTTTTTATCTGGGAAGTGACGTTTACATTTATCAAATATTTTAATAGACATTTGTCTACACTGCAGAATTGCATTATAGGAATCCCTAGTGGGAATTTTGCAAATCCATAGATTGAGAGATTCATTTTTTGAAAGATGCAGGCCATCTTTAAAATATACAGACTCATACAGAGAAATTTCTTCTTAAAGGAGTTTCTGAATGAATGAATGCATGCTGAGAATACAGGTATGCATGTTGATAGGCTTGCTTTTATGATAGTTTTCCTTTCCCCTTTAGGCACAGGCAAAGCAATTTATTACAGCAAATTCAAGAATGTCAAGATTAAGCCCAACTACCTTTCCCCATTGTGAAGTCTCACAATAATCCTAGTGCAGCTTTTCCTTAAAATCAGATTTTCATTTATTAGAATCCAAAATTTCAAGAAGAGCAGTATTGTTTTGGTTTGGTAACTTTAGCCAAAACCAGAAAGTAATAAGATCCAGGACAGGACACAGGACACTGGTGCTCTTTTCATACCTCAGACACTGCCCAGTTAGCATTGTTTGATTATGCATTTGTCAGAATGCATGCCCGCCTCTGGGTTCTATTTTGTTTTTACCTTTCTCCTGTAGCTAAGTAACAGGATCTTACGATCCAGACCTGCTCTCTTATTCCACTCTTTTCAGCTGTCATGTCATCAGCCTTCATTTAGACATTTCCACTCTGACCTTCAAGAATCATGGCAGTCAGAGATTGTTAAGCACCTCTATCTCAAAGTTAAGTCATACAGTCAGAAGATCCATGAAAACTTACTTATAATAGATTTTGAAAACTTTGATTTGAAGGAACATCACAATAGTCTTTAACCGTCACAACTGTTGGCAGCCTCTCAAGTAGAAAGGAAAACCTTCCAGTAAATCTACATAACAATCATTGAGGTTTATCTATCCTTCAGGTTTTTCGTTCATTCTTTTCTATTTCCTGAGACACCAACTACCTGCTAGCCTCTAATATTATGTTTACTTCAGATCCCAATACTGCTGCTCACGACAGAAATGCCTTGAGGGACGTTCTCTTATACAGTCAGCTGAACAGACATTAAAAAAAAAAATAGTAGGCAAGAGCGACAAAAGTTAATCTTTTTTCATCACTAATGATGCATGTAAAGATACGGGCAGAGTGTTATCACTGTATTAAAAAAGCTTTACAAAAAGAGTATGTTGAAAGACATGAAGTCCCATGGTGAACACTAGAAATCTGAGTAATGCCACAACTCATCAGGAAAACGAATTTTTTTTGGAAGAACACAGAAAAGGGTGGATCAGCAAACTTATTCAAAATGCAATTCATTGGTGAAAACTGAATATAAACCAGGAGTTTTAGATTTGGATGGAATCATGACTGGTTTTACATGGAAGGCACTTCTTCACTTATTGCACACAAGCTGGTTTATAATAGTATCAACATTCAGTTACTGATCTAATATCAACCTGCAGTACATCATATTACAACTATAGTTTCAAATGAAAGTTAAAACTTGTCTTTTTCTGAAAAACTGTCTATTTTGGGTTTGGTACTCAGGTGGAAAAAGAAAAACATAACTGAACCTAAAAAACCTCAAAATACGTATATTTATTGGCATACATTTTCTGTAAACTGATAAGTGATGTGGTGCACATGCAATCTTGTATTTTCTTTCAAAGAAGCCCATCTTCTTAGCAGTAAAATAAAGTTATAAATGTTCCAAGTACTAACCTGTAAGGCTGCTTCTGCCTCTTCCAAAGCAGGCTTAGCAGCTTCCAACTTCTCTTCAGCAATGGCTTTGTCAACTGAGATACTGTCTACAATAGCTTGAGCTTTGTCTTTCACTTTCTGAACTTCACCCTTCACCTTCTCAGCAGCCTGTGCTTTTACAGTAACTTCTTTCAATACCTAGAATGTGAGAAAACCCACATGCCAAATATTAAAGAAAACACCTAGTTGGAAGAATGTATTAATTTTTACTGTAAAATTTTATCTGTTGAATTCCAGACCCAGAAAACTCAAACAAGATGACTTTCATCACTAAGTTTCCAAGATCCCTTTTTTCCCCAACACTTAACTTCCTTTTAAGTGATTAATCTTTTCAAAATAGAATAAATAAAAAAAGCAAAAAAATAAAACAGCAATACACTTTAAGGCTGTACATACCATGTCAGCTTTTTCATTGGCAATTTGAAGTTCCTTTTCTTTTACCTCCAGCTCTCTGCTTAGAGCAGCCACTGACTCAGAGGCCTCTTTCAGTTTTTCCAGTCCAGTATTCATTCTGGAGTTAAAAAGCAAAATAAGCAGCATGTACTTCCCTATGTAATTTATGCTCTGCTTTCCAAATTATTCCATCAATAAAATTAATCACATCAATCAGGACCAACGTTAGCAAAAGAGGTTTTACACCAAAAATAGAACTTGTACAGGTACTTTCACACAAGTGTCTGATGTCTTCAGAATCAAGAAAGTGAACAATAAAGAACTACACAAAGAGAGTCTGTGGCTTGAAATTTTACCCACTTCTAACTCAAACAGTATGCCTTTATCATTGCATAAAAATCCTATACATTTGTTCCATATATGTCACCGTCCCTGTTGAGCTCCAACCTGATACTTAAAAGACTGAGTTCTATAGAGCAGAAAGCATTTTCTGATCACTAGAATCCTGAGAAATATCTCAAATCACTATTTCTTGTTTGAAGAGGATATTGAAAAGGCTAATGAAATCAAAATATTGAAATCAAGACCAACCAAAAGAGAGTAACAGAAAAATAGCACTGAGATAACACTGTTCTCATTCAGCATTAAAATGTCCCTTCAACAGTGCTTTTTGTCTATCAAAGTGCAAGTCCTCACTTGGGACTCTTCATACAAGTTTAAGTGGCCTCTACAGAGGCTGCTATTGCAAAGGCTAAGCAGTACTTGGACAGCTAAACAAATACAGGAGAACCGATAAAGAGTAACACCCACCAAAGCAATTCAGAACATGCAACTAAGGTTAAGTGAAACAAACTGACATGCGTGAACTAATCTGGTACATCTGAGGCATCAGAAGGTAGAAAACAGGACCAGACCTCTCTGTTTTATAAGTCTTCACCTATAACATAACTACAGATTTCTAACTCAATTTGGCTTTGAAGCCAAAGAACATTTCAAAGTGAAATAAACTAGTTTGAGTCTTTCTTAAAGGCTTCCAGCTCTTTGTACCAATATTTCAAAATTGAGAAGACATTTTTTCTTAAGGGTGATACCAATTGATACACCAAATGCTACTTTTACATTCTATTTGAGTATTTCCGACATGGAGATAAATCTGCGAATAGACTTCATTAGTTTAATAAAGTATCTGAAAAGGAGAATGAATATATCAAAACCATTTTAATAATCTACAAGTAAAAAGCTCAACAGCCTAAATTAGGCTCTATGATCACAAAACCAAAATGCCAAGGGTATTTTTCACATGTTCATATCGGGAGAATACCGCAGTTTAGCAAGAAAACAAAAGTTGCTGTCTGCTAAATTAAATTCTATTGGGAATATATTATTAAATGACATGTAGATGTTTCCTTTTACTCATTAAAAGTACATGGGAATAATTCATATTCACTTTTTTTCCCACCACCTTGCTTTTTCATACATCACTACCCTTTTTCCCCCTCAAAAAAATATATAGTCAAACTTGTATGCCAAGAACAACTATAATATCTGATCAAGTTACACCTTTACACATTTTAGGAAGCTTGGAAAAAAAAATAAAATCCTTTTGCTGTGCAAAGAGACAAGCCATGCATTGAAACGAAGCATATCAGAATACACCTATCTGGGGAAAAAAACTACAGAAAGACAGGAGTAGACTGAGCCGTTTACCTGTTTGCTAATGTCTGCACTTCAGCACGCTTTTCTTTGTATGTGGTTTTATATCCCTGAATAAAGGACAGATAGGATTTGGGAGTCACATGTGTAGAACGTCTGTATCTTTGAAAGTAATCAGAACACTTCTCTGCCACTCCATCCTGGAATGAGCCCATACACTGCACAATTTCCCTCTTTGTATCAGCAGTGCAGTCCATATCAAATGAGGACAGGAAATGTTCAGATACTTAGGAAAGAAAGAAAAACATAAATTAAGTAAATACTGAGGAAAAACTCTTAGCTTATAAACAAGGCAATATAAAGGCTATCTACCATGACAAAGAGAAATATTTCACCTAATTTAAATCTTCATCTGCCATTGACCTGTGTACCACTTACTCATATATATTTGGCTTAGTATGCAGCTGAACTTTAAATAGCATTTTATTTTTAACATTTCACAATCCAATATGTGGTCTAATAAAGGATGGTATTGGTTACACCAGGCAATAGTTGCAAAGCAGAGAACACCTCTGGAAGTAAAGTCTTTATACAGTGTTACTGGCAATCTGAGATTCATCTTCTTGATGTCTCCTATAAATCTAATTTAACATGTAAATACTAATTATCAGCCAATTTGACAGTTGTGACATGGGAGATGCTTTTACATTGCATCAACAAGATATTATGTCAGCTTTCACCCAGCTTCTGAAACCCTAGTCTTTACTCCCCACCATCAGATTCTTGACAGTATTCCATATTCCACACTTCTCAGTAAAAACTATAGCCAAAAAGCTGGTATTCTTTCACCTCCAAAGCATGCAACTGCTTTTTCTCTCTGAACCTGTCTAACTGCTAGCTACCAGGGATTGGGTAATCACAGCCTTCCTCTGTATGCCTGATCACAGGCACAGTCACTAATAATCACTTTCTTTAATAGTATTTTGCCTTCTTTACTAATGTCTTTAAACCATCCTCAAGGGGAATTTTTCTTCAAACCTTCAAAAGCCTTTCCTCTGTTCAAAGCCTTTCCTCTGTTAGAAATATTTCAACAGTTTAATACAGCAAGCTTTAAAGAAGAAAATGTCTATATCAAATTTTAGAACCAAGTAAGTTTCTTCTGCCAGTGTGCTGGCAAAATTCAAAGCAATTAAAACAACTTCATTACCACTGATCAGCAAATTAAATATCTGCAAAGACAAAACCTACACCTACCTGCCACTAGAGCATCCTTGGGCCATCGGCTGAACCAATCTATAGTGCATCCAGAAATGAGAGCAGGGAACTTCAGGGCCCTGTTTCGGAATTTTTCACCTACTGGTGAAAAGCAAAGAACCACATGAAGGTTCTGACGGACTCTGGTCATGAAGTAGTCATACAGAATCTCACTGGTTTGAGGTCTACGTGGATGTTCCTTTTTGAAGGTGGGTATGAGGTCACTAATGATCTCATCTACTTCATCGCGTGCAAATAAGTTTGACACCTTTGAGAAAAAGGAAGATTTTTTTTCACTCTTTACAAGATGATCCAAAATAGAGTATATAGCATAAGGTTCATTTAATAGATAGCATTTTGGGAAGGGACATACATTTCAGACACTGAAGTTATTAGGACCCACCACACTCCTTTAAACCAGAACTTTTACTGAAGTGATTCCATTAAACAAACTGAAATCTAACTTTCTGTAAAAGTAAAACCCACTCTCCCATGTGAAAAACAAAGAATCCATGTACAATGGCTTTGCTTTCTGCTCTTAATATTCTAATAACTAGTAGAAATTACTCTGAAACACACCCCTGAAACAATAAATAAATAAAAAACCTAAGCCATCCCAACCATTCTGGACATAAATTTACCATACAAAAACTAATTGTACACTAATAAGATATTTAATTTAACAGAAAATTTTGCTAAACTTCAGTGATGTTCCCCAAGTCCCAGGTTTTTTTTAAGCTACTCTCATGTCCATGACAGCTTGTCAACACATTTAAAAGGGTCTGACTTAGACAATTTCTCTGTATGGATTGATGACATCATTCTTAATTTTACAATAGCTTTGTCTCACTCTAACCTAGTATAATGGATTATTTCCATTTTTTATAATACTGTAATGATAAAAAGCATTTGAGTTCTAGTTTGTGCAAGTGTGTCCCTTGACATATAAAAGAATATTCAAAATATTCAGAATTATAAATTTAAAAAGCAGAAAAATTATCTTACTTCTCCTGATGATAAAACATTGTTCAGGTATTCCAAGAAAGATTCATCTTTGATCTCATTGTCTGTAAAAAGAAAACAGATGCCTTTCCCTTCCAGTCCTGCTGTTCTGTACAAGAGTTTCAGATCTTCCATCAAGTTTAAAGTGTTGTACGATCTACAAAAAAGGACAGTTGTGCTAATATTCATTCCTTTTAAAAGGGGCTTCTGGTTAAAAGAAAAAGAACAAGCAATCTTGAGTAAGAAACAATCTCTTGGAATTTAAGGCAAAAAAGTGCCAAAGCCCAGGAATCTTCATTTAGATTAGGAGGAAAGACGTACCTCATTTCAAAGTCTCACATTAAATACCTAACACATTCTTCTCTTTCTTGCTCTCTTTTTCACCTCCCACATCAATAAAAAAATAAATTAAAAAAACAACAAACACACACCCCAACCCCACACCCCAAACCCACCAAAAAAGCCAAAACCAACCACAACCCCCCCCCCCCCACCCCCCAACCTGAAATCTTATTAGCACCATGCTCTAACCAACTGAGCTAACCCGGCCCTATCATTTTATTTATTTTATCATGTTGTTATTCTTTTTTCTTTTGCTAGAAAAAGTGAAAAAACAGACAGGTGTTGTCTCACAGGATTCTGTCGTGTGCTGGATGCAATAAGATACTTTAGATTTTATGGACTAATTAAAAAACTCAAACTAGTTGGCCCTTCTGGTGAAAGTCATCAACGGTGGCACTCAGAGTTTTACAAAAAGGAACAACAGCAGCAGCAAACTAAGAGATTAAAAAACATAAAAATTATTAGACAAGGTGTGGCGGGTTGACCTTAGTGTCTGCATAGTTGTTTCTCTTATATATTCTCACTCCTCTCTTCTGGCTGCTGTTGCACAGCAGTTTTTTTCTCCTTAAATATGTTATCACAGAGGCACTACCACCATCACTGATGGGCTCAGCCTTGGCCAGCAGCAGGTCCATCTTAAGGCTGGCTGGCATTGGCTTTATTGGACATGGGGGAAGCTTCTAGCAGCTTCTCACAGAAACCACCCCTGTAGCCCCCCCGCTACCAAAACCTTGCCACACAAACCCAGTACACAAGGTTATACCGGAATGACCTCTCTGGCTGCATAAAGGAGTGAAACAAAAGGTGAGGTTTCTAGGATGCCCAATGGGAATTAAAACAGAGAAGTGATTGCACACAACTTTATTAAGAGTTTCTTATGTAACCATAAATGATCTCATGTATGACCTGAAAAATCAGAAATTGTACAATAGTTCCTCATTACTAGGAAGGAACTCAAGAAATAAATACATTGGTTTTAAGATTTTTTTCTTGATGATTAAGAAGATAATTCTTTGGATTTCAGCAAAGATCTCATAATCACCAAGATAAGGTTCCATACATGTGTTTATAAATAAGACACTTCAAAAGCAAAGACACCACTAAAATTAGAAATGGACACAGAGAAGACACAAATATTCTCTGCACTTTTGTTTCAGCTGCAGGAAGAAATAATGATTAGGAGAGTTATTCAGTTAATTACTCGAAATTAGACAAAAATACTGACCTGAAAAAACCACTTTAAGTTATATACATCAAGTTAGCAACATGACTATCATCTACCTTCGTGAACTAAATGAACCATTTAAAATCCAACCATTTATTACCTTTAAGAACTCACAGAACAGGAAATTTTGGATTAACAAAGAGCAAATGATTCTATCCAAGAAGGATTCAAAATTTTTTCCAGAGGTATTTCGGCACAAATTATTAGATATATTTTAGATAAACAAGTTTAGAAAAGCACGGAGTTTAATTTTATCAATCAGATCACACTTCTACACTTGCTTGTTGGCCCACTTGGAGAACTCCAAGGGGTTTGTAAGGTAGGATTATGTTTTACCAGAATCTTTGATGACTCTTTCCTACAATCATGTTTATTCAAATCTTCACTCAGTCTATTCTTCATGATACTTTCTTTAATTCATCTGGAGCACACATCGGGTTTACAAGCCTTCAGGTGCAAGGGTTCCCCAGATCTTTTCTAGACTTTTATTTTTTTACAGGCCTTCCTATGATCCCCAGGCAACTTTAAGTGGGAAGCTGCACACCATTTTCTTAATTCAATATTTCACCCTTTAGTGGCTTCATAATTCGTTGTGAATGATATCCAGCAATTTGTTACTGCTTGTTTTATAACTGTACTGTAATCTCTAGTCATTCCTATTTCAGATAGATCCTCTGATGAGATCCTCACCAAGAGGTATTCCCACATGTGAATCTACAATTTCTTCTGCAGCCAACGCAACTGCAAAAGAATTAAAATAATTCACTTCTCTACAATGACATCTTATTTGAGTGCCGAAAATATTTCCTTATCAATGACTTGTCCTACAGACACTTTAGGAGACACTCATATTCTAAAATATTCAGAGAAAGATTTATAGTTTATTTTTTATATCTTTTGTGAGTTTTTCCAAAAGAAACCACGTTGGGTTGAACAGGCTTGGGTAAGAGTGGCTGGAAAGCTGCCTGGCCAAA